AATAATAATAATAATAATAATAATAATAATAAACATCAATAATGCTGAGGTTTTTGTGTTACAGTCATGATTGCTATGGTCATACAGTACTTAAAATCAGTCCCGTATTTCAATGTTCGAAATATCCCATAAAGGCTGCAGGTCAACTTTAATGCATTGGTTAGAATCTGTAAAGACAGATTATTAAAAACACGTAGGTGGCAGAAAGCACAAGCAAGCATTCAAGGTACAAAGCCAAAGCATGCTTTTTGACCACTTTCGGGGGTTTTTTTCCCCAAAGAGGAACAGCCATCAATTTCTGACCCATGTTAATGGACCCTTTCAATATTTTATGTTTTTATATGGAGTGCTGACAATAGAACACAGAAATGGAAGGCAGGCACATTTTGCTGAGCTACTTCACTGGCTCTGTATCCATCTTCTCAACAGAGCCATGCACTCCAGTGCAGAAAAAGCCAGTACACAGAAAGAAAAATGAAAATACAGGCAAATTCAGTAACAACAAACCTGCCAAAGCTGTACGTTTTATATTTTATCTAAACATAAGTTTTGACATAAAGCAGTAGTATTTGTACATATTCTTGTCTTGTTGTCGTTTGCCAAAGGCCGCTTACAGTACTTTCTGGTGAGCGGGTTTAATTTGATTTTGATTTAATGGTTGATCTCGGCTCATCCTTGCATGTGTGACATATTATTTATATACCTCAGGTCCTCTCAAGGTGAACTCTCTCAGCAGCGTAATCAACTGTCGAAGTGCTTGGTAGTGGCGACTGAGAGTAAATTAAAAGAAATCAATTAGATGAGACAAACCTGTGCATTAAATCTGCCTTGTATCTGAAGGCTGACATGCCAGGAGAGGATCACTACACAGGTCACAGCTACTAGAGGAGGTGATGACACACACACGGCAACAAAAACAAAAGAGATTGGACACAATGTGCTTAAACACAGCAATGATTCAAACAGATATGCTCTGTGAAAGTTCAACACACTTCTGGGCGTAATGACTGACGCAAAGATATTGCATCCAAGTGGGGCTGGATTGTAGAGTGGTTTTAAAAATAATAATTAAAAAAAGCATCCGTGGACGACATAAGCTCAGACACTTACGGCAAATAGAAGTCAATCTAGTTCATCTCCTAACTTTCTGCTAGTATCTGTTTTAATGATACATGATCTATGCAGAAGCATTGCAGTGTGTCTTTCAGGTGTTCCAGATGAATAAACTACAGCTCCCTTACTGTGTCTCTATTGGTGATGTTGTTGCAGTAAACTCATATTCCAAACCAGCTGCTTTACCACAACTTGTAATGATCTCCGCATACATTAGTGGCATTGATTCTATCCCCTGAAGGTTCCCTGGTTATCTATTAGGCGTTTGTCATTCCTTGGAATCAATATTTGACCTCATGCCTCCAAATCAGTCTTGTTAATATGTGTTGATTCTGGTAATAACAGAGCTCTACAAAGCTTCAGAAGAAGAGTACTTGTACTTGCTCATCAATTGTCTGACAATGGCGATTGTTGAATAACAACCTAGCGAGCTATTGTATAGTTCTTGAAATAAAACCATTCAGTGTTATCCATCTTACTTAGTGCTATTGTGTCCTTTCCACGTGAAAAGATATTTGTCACAAATTACCATTTCTTATATTGTTAAACCTGCTATGAGGAGTTTTTAACTGGTTATGAAACAGTCTCACTTTAATACTGAGGCCTCTATATGACCTTAATAAACACATGAGAGATATCAGCAAGAAGACTGGTTATTTCTATATAGTTAATCTTAATGCCTGCCACCTGGTCAGATTCCACTGTCCACTTTCGGCCCCTGTGGACAGAAACGGTGTGCGAAAGAATCAACAAAATATTAAAAGTCCTTTGTAGGGGATTTAAAGGTGTTACATTTAGATATGTAGAAATATATAACCATCATAGGTATGTTTTGAGTGTATAATCACCTGAAAATAAGAATTATTTTATCTACAGAGGAAGCGGGTGTTCTTCCACAGAGTCCATCATGTTGAACCGCCATGGTACTACAGTAGCCCAGGCAACCAAACCCTGGCTCTAGATAGAGCCTTTCACATTTTTTGCAAGTTTCGCCGGCCACCATAGATTCTCCAATTTGCTTAGAAGTCTGAGCTGTATTCAAATGGCTTTCATTTCCAACTTCACCGCTAGATACCACTGAATCCTACACATTGGTCCTTTAAGTATCAGAATTTCAACTATCTACATATATATTTTAAAAAGAATTCTTAAAACTCCATGGGTCTGACTCAATGATGTATCAATCTGGATAATATACGTTGTATTTTAAAACAATAATCTGTGGAAAAACATCTTAGGTGACATGTTGGGACTGCTGTGTGAAGTACATTGGTGCATACAATGTACTGTATATTGGGAAACCTAAAGAATGATTCTTTAACTGTGCTGCTGCATGCCTTTTCTTGCCCCTATGCATTATTTATAGTAAAACAGCTATGTCTCAAAAAAGAACTCATATGGAGCAGAAAAAAGGGGGAAATGGGTAAAAACAAGAAGTAGGCTGTAGCTATTATTTTAATGGTTGCTAGGTGGCTTCTTTGCATGTTTGAGGTTAGGCCTACAGCTGCTATCCAAATTGGTAGCATAACAAAAAAAATGTATTTTTTCTACCAAGGCAAACCAGAAAAATAAATATGAGAATTTTAGTGTAATAAATGTGTAGATCATTGTGTTTGTGAATGAGCTTATCTTCGAAAGCTTGTTAAACCCCCTCTTTGATATTTTCCTATTTAGATTGTTCATTCGTGTTTGATCTGGCACAAGACAAAAACTACATTCTACAAATGAAAGTTATCTATAGCAACAATTTTATTTGGTATTTTGAGTTAAATCAAATTTGAAAGGAGTGCTGTCTGGGAATTCCTCCTAATACATCTTTTCATTTTTCATTTGCACCAAATGTTGTTTGGTGTCCATTCCTTGTCTACGTTTAATAAAACAGGCAGAACCATTCATGAGGCTTCAATAGGTCTTTTTCCCAGAAGACATTTGGACATGTCACAGTAGGATGTAGAAATAAGAAAATAATGATGGCTGGATTCCATTTAGCTGCTTCAGTTTCAGGGTCATTCTATTGTGCGTGCTGGCTCACTGTCACGCTGTCATGGCTTACTAGGACACTTGAACAGAACAGCCATCATTATTATTGTTATACTTGTGTTTCCTACTATGAAAGTCAAAATGTCTGCCTCAGATTATTAATTTTCTCTGTCAGTGTGACATCACACTGAAGAGCAGCTCTGACTGGCTTGTTCAAATACTGATATTTCATTACACAAAAACATGTGAAACAATACCAGCAAAATCAAGAAAGTGAGTAGAAAAATCTAATTTCAAATTGCTGAAATGTCATTAATTCCAATATATTTTCTGATGTGAGAACATAAGCAATGACTCAAGAACTATTCAATGGATAGCCTTGAAAGTTTGTACAGACATTTACAGCGCCCAGACGATGAATCCTCTGGCTTTTCCTCCAACGCCATTTGCAGGTAAAAGTTTCACTTATCCTGTTAGATATCTCAGTATCTACTAGATGGATTGGCCCAACATTTTGTACATTCACCGTTCCCAGAAGATGTACTCTGGTGGTTTTGGTGATCATCAAAACTATTGTATTGAATCAATCGGAATTTTAACTACCTTTAAATACATTTTTGTGAGTCAGGATTTCTAGGGCAACAGGCTAGGTAATATATATTCAATTTTATCTCTCATGCCTTGGATTGTGTCATGAAGTAATATTTCCACATTCTAAGTGGCTATTAGAAAACTAATTTGAACTTTGTACTGTAATAACAGAGGTAAATTATGATCCCGATTCCTTTCCCAAATCTGCATTCTCATAATGTGTAGAATAAGCTCTCACGTCCTCTTTTCTTTTTATACTGTAAATCCTAAATGTTGTGTATGTGTCACTTGTATGCATGTATACCATTTACACATGATGCTCCAGGTCCTGCTCCTGATGACACTGAAGTATTAGTGTCTGGGGATGTCACTGCTTAAAAAATCATTAATGAAGGTTGAGACTGATGACTATTTGAAGCCATAAATGCACGATTAACAACACGCTCTGGTGTACGTTGAATTTGTCATATAGAGTCAGAGCATTCAACCATTTTCTGAACTCCTCTTCCTGTTAAGGGCTGCTGACACATTCACACAACAGGCAATTTAGAGTCTCCAGGGGACCTAACCTGTGTGTCTTTAGACTGTGGGAGAAAACAGGAGCACCCACACAGACATGGGGTGAACATGTAAACTCTGAGCAAAGGCCCCTGCCATGCATATATAATCCATATTCAGTACAGGAGAGTATATGAAAGATAAGATTTCATTGGAGATTTTTTTAAACCATAGATTGTGCTTTTAATCAGGTTGTAGCTTCACCAGGAACTCAAAAGTGGGGGGCAGAGGTTGCACCTAAAGGCCCCCAAACCACCTCTGCTGTGAATCTATAAAATCAATGAGCTGATTTGGACAGCAATACATTGTTTCCTAATGCTCAGAGGCATACGGGGAACATAATATTTCAGATGTCTCACTGGATCATTACTGTTCTCTGTGCTCCAGGTGCAGTCACATTTGGGGGCCGTTCTCTTCACCTTCACCCCCAAAACATTTGCTGTAGCCCAGAGTGGATCCAAATAGGAAAAAAATAAAAATCCAAATGTGCTACCATATATAGCGCCGTGTACTCGACCAGAGGACAAACAGTCTCAGCAAAGAGTTTTTAACTGCATTTGTCCTTAATTAATTATCAAGAGCTTTGTAGATGCAGAACTCAAACTGCCCCGGACCGGCCACAAATCTACTTAATCCAACCTGCACTACAGTATACCTCTTTCAATCATGTTATATTTGCCAACAATGTAAAAAAACAAAACACTATTTAATAGTTCCTGACTTGAAAAGGGGGCAAATATAACACTTGTCAGCAGGAGTCACTTTGCGTCTTTATTCAGGAAATAGGGTATGAAAGAAGGTATATTCTCATAAACGCGCAATGTTTTGTAATCAAATTAAAAGAAGATACTCTTTAAATTTTGTTTTTAGACTGTCGTCACATCCAACAGTCCTTATCAAAAGCAAGACACCAACTAAGAGGTGAGAGCTCTGACAACAACCTGGAATAGCAATGGTAAATACCTGATTTTATCCACTTATTTTGCAACATTGTATGCTATTTACCTTTTGGGGACTAATATCTGAAAATAAATTAGTAAAAGGTCAAATGAAACAATGCACTATATTAGTCCTCAAAGGGCAAATGAAAAGACATTAGCTTTCTTTACTGTATAAGCCTTTATTTGTAAAAAGTCTGTTGTTTGAATGATAACCCTTTTTATACCACATACTTGAACACCTTGTATTTGTAAAAAACACATTTTGTTCAAACACCTAAAAAAGCTGATTGACACTATAACATTAATTTGCACTGACAAAAAAAATACAACTTCATACTACACAAATGTTGATTCCATGAGTACTGATACTCCAAATGAAATCAAACACCTTATTAAACAACTGAATCAAATAAGCGCCCAATGTGAACAAAACAATTACAGTACAAAAACCAAATGCATTTTTCTTCCAGTGCCAGTATATCAGATGAATTACATTTCCTTCTTATGATAAAACAACAACAACAGTAAGAATAACAATCCATAACAAATGCAACAAATACAACAAATCAGAAATGAACACAGAAATGAATAAAATCATTTACTAATTCATACTGAAAAATAAATGGTTTGTTGGTCTTGTGGGTTTCTTTCTTTTAGTTACCAATCTTTATAAAGTGTTGGAAAATCTTTCTTACCTACTGGTTAAACATGAGACAGTCTCTCTGTTATGCTCCTTCAAAGAGGGAGGTATACTGATGTGTAACTGGGAATCAGCACAGCTTCTTGCAAGTATCATCATACAGTAATCGACAACAGACCATAACCAGAGGCAACTTATTAAAGAGAAAATACAAGGACAACCCACTCAGTGTGCAATCACATGGCTTACGTTCAGATGCTACTGGTGAGCATCCTTTACATCCTTTTTAGTTGAAGGGCGATCGATGTTAATGCTTATGCTGAACCTGATAAAACTACAGCATGCACTTGGTGCATTTATTCCAAATTGCGTGATTTACAGTAAATACATTGTATAGAAGTACATATCACACGATGTACGTTCTATGTTTACATTTTTCCTCCAGTTTTTACGAACAGTTTGCTTCACAAGATTTATAGAGCTGGCTGTAAAACAAGTGCAATTTGAGCATGTAAACACTGGATCTTTCTTTTCCTGGCTGTGGAGATGAATCGGATGGTGTGGAGTAAAAATATATGAAAATAAAACCTTTCAAAACTTAGGTCATGCAAAACAAAACCTACAAGGTACATACAAAATAATGAATGCACCAGCAAAAGTTCTTCCAACAGTGAGGAGTCTGTTAGCCTTGTTCTGCTGTTGCATGGTTGTGGTCAGCTTCAGTGCTATTCATAACTCCCAGAGCAGTTTTGTGTCTACAGGTTCAGCCCGTCATGCATATCTTTTTTTTTTTTTGGGAGAGGGGAGTGGTGTAATCCCAGATGAAACAAGACTGGAGTCAACAAAAAAAAAGATATGATTTATATCCCTTATCATACTAGATCCCAGCTGGTAACTATGGCACTGACTGAAACAGTTTAATCATACAACAATACTGGCTGTAATTTACTTACACAGAACCAAGGGACATTTGTGGAACTGTTGTTTATCTTTAAATATATCCAGGGGACAATTTTATATCAATACCCTCAACGTAGCTAAACATATTTACTTCAGGGAGCTAGCCCGCACAGACATAGACTTCTATTGTTAGCAAGTGAGCAGCTGCACTTGGGCAATTGGCTAAGTACCTTGCTCAAGGGCACACATGACTGTCTTATTGAGGAACAGGAAAGAACATCCCACTCGCCTTCTTAAGGCTATCCTGCTCCTCTAGCCTCTATAAGCCAGCAAGCCGATCATGCCCTTCATTTTTTTTTTAGCAGATTCATGGACGATGGCTGAGGTAAACGCTGCAGCTATACTGTGCAGAAATTTCCTGCAAATCCTAGGATCAGATATGTTCAATGGGAAAGCCCGACTAGAGAATTTCATAAAAGGTGCCATCCCATTTGCAAAAAGTGAACCAAGGCATACTGTAATTTCCAGGAATCTTCAACAGCATTAGCATTAGCCTTGTTCTTAAGGGAACAGGTGAACCAATACAAGCTCAGAGCCACCAGAAACTCCTTCACTGTGAGAGGACTTTGCATTGATTTCTCCATTATTTTGTTCACACCATGTATTTCTTGTGTCTCATTTTTTAGGTTTCGTTTGCAGAAGTATGCCAATGCTAGAGAAGCTGTCCATGCCATTAGCAGTGAGGCTAGCTGGTATTACGAACTGCCATGTTTTTGTTCATGCATTAAGAACTATTAAGTGAAAGATATCATATTTACAGTACAATTCACATGTAATTACACATATACACTAGAGGCAAGAAAATTCACATTGAAATCAGTTCAACACTTTTTTTTCTCCTCCTCTTCTCCTTGAACATATGTGTCAAAAGAAATCTATTTTCTCTCTTGTATAAGCAAATATCCTAAAGTAAAAGCATAGAACAGAAGATCCTCACAGCTTTTGGGATGAATGTGCTGATTTCATGTCCAGAAAGCAGGTAATGCATGTTCTGAGTGAAATGAATGGTATTTACTGCGAGCATGCAAGGGCTGCAAATGTTTCTCCTCCGTAGTGTTTGGAGTTCATTAAAGATATGTATCAACTATCTCAAAAAACATGTATACCTGAATAGGCATGTTTGTATTCATTTCTGGGAATAATCCAACCTGAATGAGAATTTGATACTTGTGTTAGTTTGCGTTACAAAATGCAAGAGTGGATGGATTAGGCTTCTTTCTGGTCAAACATGTTTCATTGAGTTAGTTAAAATAACACTTATGGTTGCCTATAGTTTTTACAAACCATATGTGGAACAAATCGTATCCTCTGGCCTCACAGTCTAACTCAACTCTCAGCAGAGATCCATCATGTTGCCTTTTAACAGTTTGACAAGCTGTAAGTGTTCAGACTGAGATGAAATGATGCAAAATAAATAAATAAATAAATAAAAATAAAAAACTCAGTAAAGTGTATTATTTAAATAAACTTGCATTCATTATACCCTAACTATTACCACCTTCCTTTATTTTCATTTGTTCAAAAATTCCTAGGACAAGACTTCCTGAAACATGAATGTGAACAGTGGTAATCACCGCCTCAGAAGTGCCTGAATACCCCTCACTCAGACGCCTCTGTCCACATCTGACATCTCAAAAGAGAACAGTTTTATAAGTTAGAAATGCAGCATGCATGTCTCAGGGATGTATCTTATGCTTTAAAGGGGAACTCCACAGATTTTACACATCAAAGTCTGTTTACAGCTTGAGGAGAGCTATTGCATACGTGAAAAAAAGTTGATAAATAGCCTCATGTGATGTCACTTGAGTCAGCATCGGTTAGGGCAGAAGACTAAGAAGTTTAAAAATGAAAAAAAAAAAAATCTGGGGGTGTGGAGGGTGTTGAGAAGTGAGCTTGCCAGACCTCTGCAGCCTGCTCCTCACCTCTGTTTGAGGCTTGCGGCTCAAGGCTACATTAGCCGCTACTAGCATAACAAACCCCTACTTCTGACAGGATTGTCGGCAGATGAGGTGCACTGTGGGTAATGTAGGCACCAGGAAGAAGAACATCTGGAATAAAGACGATGACTGATCTCTGGTCCTGCTGCATCAACAATAACAATGTTATAGGAGTGCGATGTCAAATCGGTGGAGTTCTCTTTTAAAACTGGCACTGAGCATTCTTAACTAAGCCTGCATGTGGAAACAACTGATGCTACTGTAGTCAAGTTTGTTGAATTTCAGTCTCAACTCCCTTCTGTTTGGCAATTTTGAAGAACTCTGTATTTGTGCATTATAACATATGCCACCATTTCAGCCGTTACCCTAAACTAGAGTATAATACTGAATATTTATTCTCTATATAACACAATAGAACCTGCTTCAGAGCTTGGAGTTAAACATTTTAACCCAGAGGCAATTTTCTCACAATATTCACTGCTACTTTAGTTTATTGTGGCACTTGTTGACTCATTGTCACTTTTCTCATAAATAACAATAAATTTACTTTCTTCACATTTAGGAATAATCACTATGTTTTGGTCATGTAATCCTTTGGACCTCACAGTTGACTGAAAGACAAACAACAGATTGTTCAGCTGCAGACAAAAACATAAAACTCTTCCTGTTACTGTCACCACCTCGAGACGTCCTGTTTATTTTTATGGATTACTGGATATTTAAAGACGATCTTATTTCTTCTTTCTTTTGCTTCTACAGTACAATGACGATGATGCATAAAATTTAAATAAACAGAAATACTAAACTCGGATCACAGCTCGGGCCACATCACTGTACAAACTTCACTTTGACTTACAGAGACAAATTGGTTTCTCATCAGTATTCCTTTCTGAAGACATCTTGTGCATACTACACCCTGCGCTCCAAAGGGGAGTGGATATTTCTGATGATAAACTGATTACTCTGAAAGCCTTCCATCTTCCCCCGTCCCCATGTGTTTGTGTGTATGACAATTTCCCCCCTCTTTTTTCCATTTTTATCAATCATTTAAATATATGTTGTTGTTTTTTTGCTACAGGACCCATGATAGATTTGGTTGTGTAGGATTTGCTCCGAGCCTGTTGTTCCTGGTAGGGCTTGTTTGTGCTTGAAGTGAAGAGGACACAGAAAGATGCTAATCTGCACTTCGGCATGGGAGGATTTTTTTTTAAATTTGTGTTTTAACTCTTCCCTGTCTTCCCTACAATGTCCACTGTCCATCTGCCTCAGTCACCTAATGCTCCAACTCCATTATTATTTCTTTAACTTTTATGTGGTGGCTGTTTTGGATTCCCCATCCTATAAAGATATGATTATCTTGGCTGATTTAAAAAAAAAAAAAAAAAAAAAAAAATCAAGCTCCTACAGTACTTTTTTTCACTTTGCTAATGAACCTGAGCACTGGAAATGCAGTGTGTTTTTTTTTTTTTTTGTTGTGTTGTGTTGCGTTTGAGAGCAGAACTAAACAATAATACATATGTATTATAGGCCTTTTGGTCATCATTTCAATTCATGGCTATTTATCACACATTTTCTCCCAGAGAATCAGTGTATCATTCCTGATCAGGCTGATGTTTCTGATCCTCTGGCTTCGTAGCATTTGTGTGATGGCACTGATTTAGAGTGTGAAACGTTGAATCCTTCTCCCCACATCTTCCGCCCGGGCTGCCCATTACTATCCCAATCAAATAATCTTGCCTTCAGAAACTGCAACTCCAACACAGAAAAAATGCTCAACAAACAAAGAAATACTGTATACTGAATGACAACTGGTCAAACTGTGGGCTGATGTGTTGACTCTTTTGAATATACATGTTCTCACATCTTCACTGTGGAATAATTTCAAATGAATCACAAAAGCACCCCCCCCACCCCCCCACCCCCATCCTTTCCTTTTAGCAAACACAAAGCAGGATATGACATCAATGAACTCTGCACCTAATGAGCATATGAATCAATCAATAGGAGGAAAGAAACAGTACAAGTATACTTTCATGAGCATCTGAATGATAAAATGTATAGAATATGTTTTTTTTTTTCACACAATCAAAATGAGCAATGCATACCTTTGACTCTTTTATCTCATAATGCCCTAGCTCTAGAACATGTTCTGACACTCTCTGAAATCACAGTATTTTTCAAGACAAAATCATATCTACAATAATCAGCACTTGTTTTTAACCTTAATCAAAAAGACCCCCCGCCCCCTTCCCAAGGATGTGTTTCTAAAAATAACATGAGAAGAGAAAGGAACACAAGTTTGCGTTGACTCTGGGCGGGGATGCGGCGGTCAAACATCCCATCCACACGGCCATCTAATGGAGAGCCATTAGGCCAGAGCTGATGTCTGATTAAGAGAACGATATCACTGCAAAAAACCCAAGGAACAACACATAATCCAAACAAGGTTGCTGTACATAGTAGAACCGGAGATTTCCGTGCATGTTATCCATGGGCAATGGGGTGGGAGGGGTTGTGGGCGGGTAGGTCGGGTGAGGGCGGCGGGGGTGGGGGTGTGTCAAGGATCTCACTCAGCTGATGCCTGAACAGACGAGCCACCACTGATTTCATGAGCTGCAGTAGAGGATTTTTGATCACAATAAGTATCAATAAAAAGTCAATGGGACTCTGAGACATCTTTTCTCTCTCAAGAGCTTCCACTTTCTCTTTTTTCTTGTTTTTTTTTTAGCAAAAATATCATGCAGTCTTTAGTTCCAAAAACCCCTGGTGGGATCTCGTGTTTGTTTGTTTGTTTGTTTGTTTGTTTGTTTGTTTGTTTGTTTGTTTGTTTCTTTCTTTCTTTCAGGAGGAAAAAGAAACTCAAAGCCTTGAAATTCTTCTCTCACAATTATTCTTAAACATTCAAGTCATCCTATTAATACTTTGTACAGCAGAAAGGTCCTTCAGATTTCACATGTGTATATATAAATATAATATATAGAAATATGCATATACATATGTTCAACTTGTATATGTGTATACATATTTTGGAACTGTATCAAAGCCAATTTAATGTGCTCTCAAAATATGGCCCATGATTCCTAGTGGGATGCACATCAATTCACATAGTACAACCAGTAGATTAGGTTGAAAAATCCAAAGGTGATAGGGAAAATGACCCGGGACCACTTGTCAATGGTGCTAACATCTGACAGGTTTGGGATTTTCAACTTGAGCTTGGAGGAGCGTCGCCGTAGCCGACAGTTGGCCCGGCTCCGCATGGCGCTCCGGTCCAGTGAGTGGTGGCTGAAGCCATCTCGGGGCGCCATGGGCTTCCTGAATTGGACCCCGGAGCTGTCGAAGGACATGACTGAATTCCGAGAGTCACTGACGCTGCTTCCCACGTCAGAAGGCATCACTTCGTTGTTCATCTCCAGCGTGGTGAGGAGGATGTTTCCATAAGCATCCACCTGCGAGGAGAGGGGGAAAACAAGCGGGAGTCAGCGAGGGCTGAAATGTCGAGCAGTAGCCCCAAATTCCCTCAATAATGAAAACTTATATTAACCCCCCTCCCATCTCCCAAGCTGTCAAGCTAAAGCAAAATGTAGGGATGATATGGAACGTCATTTCTTGCATGCAACAGAAATAGTTAACAAAGAGTTTCTTTATACAGATATCTATTAGTGGTTTTCACTTGCAAAAAAGTGATAAAAGTCATTTGAACAACCTTAATCAACTGACTTTATTGTGAAGTCTGGCCTTTAGCTGATATGATTTCTAAATACATGTACCCCAACTTTTCTTTGTTCCTCGAGATACAGATTTCTTCGCTGTGTAAATGACCTGAAGGTGTTGGTTTGAAACGGCACGGAAATGGAGTCCTTGCAATGTGAAAGAAAAATGAAGAGAACATTAAAACGGCTATAAAATTCTGGCAAATAAGCACATTTTCTCAAAATTACACAATGCATAAGACAGAGTTAACATGAACAACTTTGAATAAGCATTTAGTACTTCACACACAAAAAACAGTGGGGGGTAGGCGTCATTCCTTCTGACCACTTCAGAATCTGCCATTGTTAAATTGTCCAAGGCTTTCTCATTCTGCTTTTTGACATTTTGTCCACTTTAGTTGGAAAATACACGTTAAAATACAAGGCAGCAGAGTGAGAATGAATGAAGCCTACAGCATAAACATAGACAACAACCTAAATAAGAAATGAGAATGTTAACACCACTGTTGAACTAAATGAAGCGCTATCTCAATGAAAAAGGCTATGCTCGATAAAAAGCAGTCAGTGCTTGAGGGAGAAGCAATGGATGATGGTTTGTGAATGCATATTGGGCTGTGGTGGCATTAGTATGCTTCTGGAGGATTACTTCAGGGAATATTATATATGTGTCTTTGGATAAAATGACTATGGCTAGAAATCTTATGTGCAGAACATAGTATAGTACTTGAACTCCAACTGACACAGAGACTAAAAGAGAGGTAGCAGATGAAGATGCAAACCTGTTCCCTCAGGCGCTTCTCTTCGTATCTGGTGCGCTCGTTGTTGGCTTTGTTCAGCCTCTCATTGATTTTCTTCTGTTGCGCAGGGCCCCGGCCAAAGAACACGTAATTTACAAAGGCATATTCGAGCAGGGCCAGGAACACAAACACAAAACAGCCCATGAGGTAGACGTCAATGGCTTTCACATACGGAATCTTTGGGAGAGTCTCCCTAAGGTGGGTGTTAATTGTTGTCATGGTAAGCACCGTTGTCACACCTGAGTACAGCAGCACATAGAAAACAAAGAATTCACCATCAGACACCGAAGTTAGATTTCACTTTAAACACGTATCAATAGTGATGTTAACGTAGGTCAGTGAGGGAAGACGTTTTCAGATCATTTAGAAAAGGTAACAATACTTTGCTGTAAAAAAATAAAAAGCAAAACAAATTATCAACAGCAAAATATACATTAAAAAAAGAAAACGTACTTAAAAGAATGGTGTATTATACTATTATACATCATATTATTTGATTATTAATACTGATGCATTGGCACATTTTAATGTTGTAGCTGGTAAGGTGTGGTGTCTGCCTAGCAGTTTCATCTATAACAGAGAATCATATTCTGAAAGATTATGTTTGTATGTTGAATAGTAATCTGTATAACTAGTAACTAAAAGTGTCAGAGCAATGTAGTGCTGTAAAAAGTACTTTTAGTTGAGTAGAAGTAGAAGTGTCAGAGTCTCTTAGTTATAGCTAGCCACTGAGATTGTAAATGAGGTCACTGCCTAAGATTGCCCACATGTGACAAATAAACCTGATTGATGATTATTAAATGTCATGAACATCGCAAAAACAGTGACTGTCACAGAGTCCTGTTGGATGTTGTGACACTGTGTGTACTACTTTAAGGTAACTGGGGCACATTTATCATATTATGAGTAAGCATGTCTCTCAGGCTTACTCATAGTATGTAATAAGTACTACTCATCACTCCATATTTTCAACATGTACATCAGTGTTTCTACTTTTAGTGTTTACACAGCACTAGCTGACCTGTGTGAACATCAAATGGAAGCAACAGAAATTCAGCAATATGACTAAATAGAAAGAACTGATGTAGCTTGTAGGTGTGTAATTGTTGCATTTGGTTGATAATTAAACACTGATATCCCTTTTTTACTGAATCAAAATAAAGTTGATAATTCATAGTCACTGTTGGTTCCTGTGATAATCACTGGATTTTGATGGAGACAGGTACAAGTTTAATAATGCAGTGGTGGCTGTGTCTTACCCAGGGCCACCCGAGCTGCAGAGGCGTCGTAATTGATCCAGAAGGAGACCCAGGAGAGGATGGTGATCAAGATGGAGGGCATATATGTCTGCAGGATGAAATATCCAATGTTCCTCTTAATCCTGAAACTCAGCGAAAGCCTTGGATATGAACCTGTAAGTAGGAAGAAGGATGGAGTGATAGTTTGGAAGAGAGCAGGGCGGAGTGAAAACACATCAGTGAAAAAAAGGAGAGAAGGGGGAAAACGTTGGCACAACTTAAGAGTTCCAAAGTCTGCACTTTGACAACGCGCAGGGTAGTCATTTCTCCATTTGTTCAGATGGAGCACTTAATTTCCCCAAAGCGATGGATTCCTTTCCAGGGACAAGTTCGATTCCAATTAAACATGGCAGAAAGTCGCAAACACGGCAGATTTTTCTGCAACCCCCTATCTCAGCAGGCAGCTCCAGCATCCCTCTGAGAATTGTCACAGAGAGCTGCTCTGCTTTTCCTTCGCACTTTCCCTGTCCTCTAAACATTACCAAAAGGGCATTTTAGAGGTGCATAATTGCAACGCATGCCTTTACACTGAAAGAGGAAGAAACATATACGGTATGTGGCTGCAAGGTGGTAAGTCATTCCATTGCACATTTTGCAGGAAAATATCAGCTGGTTGTGCCAAGACATTAATTGGTCTTTTGACTGCACTTTAATTTAAACAACCGCAACAATACAATGCTGATGCAAAAAGCAATATAAATATCCAGGCAGAACCTCTCTGCTTCAGCTATGGCTTGATATTTACGAGGTTGGAAACAATACAAATAGCTCTAAACATAGTTAAATTCCATTCTATGTATTCTACCTACAGTTTTATTTCCAATATGTCACCAAAGAAAAAAGGCTCCAGATAAGCGTGATGCTTTTAATCTAAAAGGCTATTTGCTATGGGGAACACACAATGATGAATGACCTCATCATCACCAGGTTCCTCTAAATCTTTTAATGAATCAATACCTTAGCATACATTCTTCATCAAGTCTGAGACAAATGCCTTAGATCACCCAAGTACATCCTAGATTAATGGTGGCAACAAATGTTCACAGATTTCATTAAACTCAAACATGAGAATTACACTTAAATTTCTCTTTTGTCTTAGAATAGTGAGGGTGCTTATGGGGTAGCTAGGGTCTCTTGTCTAAAGTCTGTGTGCCATATCTATACAGTATGTCAGAGTTTGAAATACAGAACGTAAACCTTACTGCTCTAACACATACACGTACTGTATCTGTGGCAATGTTTTGTGACACTGTTCTGTAGTTTAAATCCACATAATTGTGTGGACCATTTTGGGGAGTGATCCATATCACTTTCAATATGTCTCAGTCAGCAGTGGAAGAAATAATCTGATTATTTACTTAACAGAATAGATTGACATTTTGGGAATAGGCCAAAAGTAAAATGAGAAGATCAATACCACTCTCATGTCTGTGCAATAAATATGAAGCTGCAGGCAGTTAGCTTAGCTTAGCATAAAGACTAGAAACAGGGGCAAACAGTTAGCCTGGCTCTCTCCAATGGTAAAAAAACCCACCAACCACCAGCGCCTCTAAAGCTCACTAATTAACACGTTGGCTATATCTCACCCCTGGAGTCTGAGCTGGTTGCCGTGCAACCTCGTGTGATGACAGAGCTACAGGAAGTCACTGTGCAAAAAAATAGGCACTGCTACTTCACTACAAATTGTCATTTTTACACTTCATACACACAAGACAACATGTTGATTAGTGAGATTTAGAGGTATTGGTAGGCATTTCTTTTACCTTTGGACAGAGCCAGGCTAGCAGCTCTTTATGCTAAGCTAAGTTAACTGTCTGCTGGCTGTAGCTTCATATTTAGCATACAGATATTAGCTTGGTATTGATCTTCTCCTCTAACTCAAGTCAGTAATGGATTTCCCAAAATATCAAACTAATATGAAGCACCAGTAGAAAAAACTTCTGTTTCAGAGCATAGTTTTATTGAATCATTAGCCTGTAAGCAGCATTTTAATGTTTAAAGCTGTTTCAGGTAGTGCTATGTCAGACCAATATTCTACTGCAGTACCTTTTAAAGCAATATAAATGTATTCTTATTCTTATTAATAATAATAATATTGTTATTAGTTATTTTATTTACTTTTTGGTGGTTTAATCATTAACTGCATCATAGGACCAAGATGTTTCAAATATTTAGCAAGTGAGGGAATACAAATTACAATATGTCCAAATGAAATGTAGTAAAGTAGAAGTAGAAAGTTTCACAAAATAGAAATATTCAGGAAAGCACCACATACTTGTATTCAAGTACCAATAATTCCTGTACATATATTGTGCTTTGATTTCAATTTACGTAGTTCTGATTTTCCTGGACCGTACTCTGATTTTATATCTGAAATCTCAGAGTTTTTATCAAGTTTAGTCCTCAAATCAGATAAAGTAATTATTGTAGGTGATTTTAATATTCATGTGGATGTTAACAATGACAGCCTTAGTAACGCATTTATATCATAAATAGACTCAATTGGCTTCTGTCAGAGTGTAAATAAACCAACTCATAGTTTTAATCACACTCTTGACCTTGTTCTATCATATGGCATTGATATTGAACATTTAATAGTCTTCCCACATAATCCTTTCCTATCTGACCATTATTTAATAACTTTTGAATTCATACTATTAGATTATAAGCCATTAGGCTACAGTAGATGTCTATCTGACAGTGCTGTAGCTAAATTTAAGGAGGAGATTCCTTCAGTGTTTAATTCAATGCCATGTCTGAATTTAACAGAGTCCTATACAACTTTAGTCCCTGTGAAATTGATAATCTTGTCGATAGTGCTGCAGGCTCACTACGATCAACATTAGACTCTATCGCACCAATAAAAAGGAAATTATTAAAACATAGGAGACTAGCACCGTGGTACAACCACCAAACCCGCCAGTTAAAGCAAATAGCTAGGACATCTGAAAGGAAATGACACTCTTCCAAATTATCAGAATATCGCTCAATTTGGCAAGATAATCTTAAAACTTATAGAAAGGCCCTCCTTAATGCCAGAGGAGCCTATTACTCAGCACTAATAGAAGAAAATAAGAATAACCCTAGGTTCCTCTTCAGCACTGTAGCCAGGCTGACAGAGAGTCACAGCTCTATTGAGCCACATATCCCCATAACCTTAAGCAGCAATGACTTCATGAGCTTCTTTTATAATAAAATTATTACTATTAGAGAGAAAATTAATCACCAACCGTCATCAACAGTTATCAGTGGCTCTCCAAGTTCAGAGACTTTTACTAATGTAAACTTAGATATATATTTAGACAGTTTTTCTGCTATCGATCTTCATCAGTTAACTTCAATAATTTCTTCATCGAAACCATCAACCTGTCTGTTAGACCCGATCCCAACTAGGCTGCTTAAAGAAGTTGTTGCCTTAATTGGCACTTCTTTACTGGATATGAATAATCTTTCTTTATTATCAGGATATGTACCACAGTCCTTTAAAGTAGCTGTAATTAAACCCCTTCTTAAAAAGCCCACTCTTGACCCAGGGGTTTTAGCCAACTATAGACCGATTTCTAACCTCCTCTTCCTCTCTAAGATTCTGGAGAAAGTAGTCGCCAAAGAGTTGTGTGACTTTCTACATAACAATAGTTTATTTGAGGATTTTCAGTCAGGATTTAGAGTTCATCATAGCACAGAGACAGCTCTGGTTAAAGTTAATAATGACCTTCTGATTGCTTCTGACAATGGACTTGTCTCTGTACTTGTATTATTAGATCTTGGTGCTGCATTTGACATCATTGACCATGATATTCTTTTACAGAGACTTGAGCACCAAATTGGCATTAAAGGAACCGCACTAAGCTGGTTTAAGTCATATTTATCAGATCATTCCCAGTATGTACATGTTAACGATGAATCTTCAATAAATACTACAGTTAGTCATGGAGTTCCGCAAGGTTCTGTACTTGGACCAATATTATTTACTTTATATATGCTCCCTTTAGGCAACATTATTAGGAATCACTCCATTAACTTTCACTGTTACGCAGATGATACGCAGTTATATCTATCAATCAAGCCCGATGAAATTAATCAATTATCTAAATTACAAACATGTCTTAAGGACATAAAATCCTGGATGAGCTGCAATTTTCTGAAATTCTTGTTCTTGGCCCCAAAAACCTTAGAGACTCACTGTCTAAAGATATAGTTACTCTAGATGGCATTACCTTGGCCTCTAGCACCACTGTTAGGAATCTTGGAGTAATCTTTGATCAGGATTTGTCATTTAACTCCCACATAAAGCAAACCTCCAGGACTGCCTTCTTTCATTTACGTAATATTACAAAAATTAGACACATCCTATCACAAACAGATGCAGAAAAACTAATCCATGCATTTGTTACTTCAAGGCTGGATTACTGCAACTCTTTATTATCAGGTCCCAATAAGTCCATTAAAACACTCCAATTAATTCAGAACGCTGCAGCACGAGTACTGACAGGAACTAGAAAAAGAGATCACATCTCTCCTGTACTAGCTTCTCTGCACTGGCTCCCTGTAGATGTAGAATATAATTTAAAATCCTCCTCCTCACCTATAAAGCTCTTTATGGTTAGGCCCCTTCATATCTTAAAGAGTTCATAGTACCCTATTACCCCTCTAGAACACTATGTTCTCTGAATGCTGGGCTACTTGTGGTTCCTATAGTCTCTAAAAGTAGAACAGGAGCCAGAGCCTTCAGTTACCAAGCTCCTCTCCTATGGAACCAGCTTCCAGTTGTGGTTCGGGAGGCAGACACCCTCTCCACATTCAAGAGTAGGCTTAAGACGTTCCTCTTTGATAAAGTCTATAGTTAGGGCTGGATCAGGTGAGTCCTGAACCATCCCTTAGTTATGCTGTTATAGGCCTAGACTATCGGGGGATTTCCCATGGTGCATGGGAATGCATGTTACTAACTTCACTTTTTCCCCGGAGTTCTTGTGCTTTCTCATCTCGCAGGTTCTTATCGATCCTGGTGGAGCCTCCTGTCATGGTCCTGCTAGATTGCCATTGCCAATACTGTTGTTACTGTGCACCTGTCTGTCTGTCTGTCTCTCTCTCTCTCAGTCTCTGTCTCTCTCTCTCTCTCACCCCAACTGGTCGAGACAGACGACCACCCACCTAGAGCCGAAGTATCTGTCCTAGGTTTCTGCCTTTTAACAGGCAGTTTTTCCTTGCCCTTGTCGCCAAGTGCTTGCTCATGTTGGTACTGTTGGGTCTCTGTAAATAATGTTATTGAAATTTGAACTACTATTTGAAAAATGTCCTGAGATAACTTCTGTTATGAATTGGCGCTATACAAATAAAATTGAATTGAATTGAATTGAATTGAATTGATTCAGGAACACTGATGATGAAATATGTCAGAAAACAATTAGTGTAGTTATCCTGAGTCAACATTTGGAACTTCAGTTCACAAATATGTGGAAATGACCACCTACAGTCTGCTGCACTGAAAAGGAAATTGTCTTTTAGCAGCACGACCCAAATATAATCATATTCCCCACAGTGACAATGGCATATTTACTGATGCCCCCACTCACAGAACTCACAGTGGTGACATGGATGAAGAAGTGTTTAGACAGCATGTAAGAATCACTTTGTGTATGCAATGGCTGCTTTTAGCCTCATTAGGCCTGAAGCAGCTTTTACAGAAGCCTTACCTGTAGTAAACCTGACCTCCCTGGACACCAAGCGGATGTCTACAATGGAAAACTGAGGTAACTCTAATTTGTCAACGCCCGTCACAGCGTTGTTTCCTCCTTGCCAGAAGAATACGATGTCATCTGTGGTATATCCATCTGTATCAAGGTCGGGGAAAAATCAGGGGAGAGAAGATAGAGGAAAATTAAAGTTAACCATGTTTCTATTTACAGTCTGTTCAAAGAGTATGGATAATGAGTGGAGGTCGCTTTGACAAATCAAACACTTGTTTCGGTCTACTCTATGTTGCATTAAAGTCTTTCAGAGCTCAGCAACCCAAAAATAATGGATCTTTTGCAATTCTTATTTCCTTTGGAACACAAATTATAATTTAATATTTATCAATTATTGTTGACCACAGTTTTTTTTTTTTATGAGCCTCTTCCAAAACTGGGATTGTAGTCAGACTGTGGGAGGAGAAGGAAGGAATTTTTTTTTTCTATTCCCTAGAGGACCATGCAGCACCAAAGACAGCACGAAAACAAAAACCCTTCCTGCCTAAGCCTTAAATCTGTCACATGCGCCACTGTCCAGACTCCTATGGAGCTATATCACTGCATGCATTACTACCTGCATGAATATTTATTAACATGTGTCACTTGGTAAGGCGCTCCCACACATTCCCAACTGGCACTGCAATTGAAAGTGACCACAGCAGTAGATTTATGTCAATAGGCCAGTATGCATTCACTGCAGAGCAATTTCTCAGTCCGGGAAGTGTTACTACATTTCACATTCTACTACCTCACATCCAGACCTGGATGGCATCAAACTCACTAAGGGACCAGGATTCATTACCATTAAATCTCTCTCTGAGGTTATAGGGTAAGGAAATGTGACATTGTCCATGAAATTGAAACAACTGCCTGCCTAATCAATCAAACTGATGGTTAATGTGCATGACTCCCACTAGTGCAGAGCATTCCATGCATAAACAGCAGAATTCTTTTTAATTCATGGCATATCCATATTTCATTGCCTGCTGATGTCCCCGAGGGTAAACGCTCTGCACTTTTATCTTGAACAACAAGAACCACAAATATCTGGTGTATGTATCAAGTGGGTTGATTGATGGAGGGGTCAATGAAAATGATCAAGTAAATACAATTTTTAATTACAGCACTAGCAAATTTTTTTTCATGGATATTGATTTATCTAAATTAAAGAATTAGAAAAAAAGACAGACATGAAACAACGTCAATGGCCTTTTTGTCTTATTTTCTGTGATATGTATGTACACACACCTGTTCAAAGATGACTTCACAGATACACACAAGCAGATGAAAATATTATTTTTAAGAGTCAAGCTACCAGTTCACAACCATGTTCCACATCTCATTTCATCCCATTCTGATTTTAAAGGGTAACTACAGTAATTTTATGTTTAACGACCAGTTTACTCGTCATGGGGAGAACTACCCAACCGGAAAGAGTTGGAAAATGACTCCTGTGGCTCTGGGGCTAAGTCTGAGAAAGTTACCCTGATGATGAGGGTTACTGATGAACCTTACTTCACTTTAAAAAGTTACCTCTTTTATCAAAGCTATCTCAACATTAGCTTGGAAACTTCAAGTTTATAACAGAAACATTACAAACTGAAGGTGTGGAGTTTAATAAATGTGGCATTTACTAGGCAGGGAGGGTCTCACAAAAAAAATATCTTATTTTCAGGTGATTATACAGTAACGAAAACATACATATCAATATTATATTCATTTCTGCCAATAGATCCTCTTAAATATTACACACTGGACTAGGGCTGCACAATTAATTAAAATATTAGGTAACACTTTATAATGAGTACACACTATTAAGCATTAGTTAAGCATGAATAAATACTGAATTCATCATTTATAACGCATGAATACACATTAGTATGTAGTTTATAAACACAGTTAAAAATGTTTTATTCATCATTGATAAGCACATTAGTTATGGATTAGTAAATACTGAATTCATCATTTATAAAGCATGATTCTGCTGTAAATAGTCATTACTATGTGGTTTATAATCACAGTTATAAATGTTTTACTCTTCATTGTACTATACATTTCTGCATGCACTTGCACATCCACTATTCAGACATGTATTAATGATTAGTGACTGTGTTAGCAGATGTTCTATAAAACCCACAACAAATTCATTTTCTAATGATGGCCTATAAACAGTGATTAATGCAGGAATTCACAGTTACAAAGCACTTACTACTCGTTAAAGTATTTTGCACGAGCTTATCTAAAGTGAGCACTATCTATGGTTTATTAAGCATTTACAAATGAGATATAAAGGCTGACAATGCCTCGAGACTCACAAAATGTTCAGTTATCTTAACAGACGAAGGAGAGACACAACACAAAGGGATATAGAACATATTGTATTGATATTTATTGCAACTTCCCAACATATTGTATGAAGACGAACAAGAGCTCCCGCTCTCAGCACGTCATCAACGTGATGACGTGCTGAGAGCGGGATGTTACGTCATATTTACGTTAACTCTCAGAAGTTTCTGACAGTGCAGCCAAGGGGAGCATGGAGAAGCACATTGGAGTCGGCGGCCGTCAGCGGCTCTAGTGGAGAGTATGTGTCTTTGTTTGGTAGCACACATTATGGTTGAAAGATAACGTTAGCTTGTCAGCAGCTGCAGGTGTTTGCTCTCGCTCCCCGACTAACGTTACTAACGTTACTACCGTTACCGACCCGCCCGCAGTGGCTAAGCCGACCTAGTCTAGTCTCGTCTAGCCGGTCGAGGTGAGGGCCTAGCAGCGGCAGGTCGGCTTAGCCACCGCGGGCGGGTCGGTAACGTTAGTAACGTTAGTGTCAAGTGACAAGCTAACATTATCTTTCAACCATAATGTGTGCTACCAAACAATGACACATACTCTCCACTAGAGCCGCTGACGGTCGCCGACTCCAATGTGCTTCTCCATGCTCCCCTTGGCTGCACTGTCAGAAACTTCTGAGAGTTAACGTAAATATGACGTAACATCCCGCCTCCCACCGTCATCACGTTGATGACGTGCTGAGAGCGGGAGCTCAACGTACACGTCCCAAACAGATAAGATCACAACAATAGCATGTCTTCATAAACCACCCTTGTTCGTCTTCATACAATATGTTGGGAAGTTGCATTAAATATCAATACAATATGTTCCATATCCCTTTGTGTTGTTTCTCTTCTTCGTCTGTTAAGATAACTGAACATTTTGTGAGTCTCGAGGCATTGTCAGCCTTTATATCTCATTTGTAAATCCTTAATAAACCATAGATAGTGCTCACTTTAGATAAGCTCGTGCAAAATACTTAATTAACGAGTAGTAAGTGCTTTGTAACTGTGAATTCCTGCATTAATCACTGTTTATAGGCCATTATTAGAAAATGAATTTGTTGTGAGTTTTATAGAACATCTGCTAACACAGTCACTAATCATTAATACATGTCTGAATAGTGGATGTGCAAGTGCATGCAGAAATGTACAGTACAATGAAGAGTAAAACATTTATACCTGTGATTATAAACCACATAGTAATGACTATTTACAGCAGAAACATGCTTTATAAATGATGAATTCAGTATTTACTAATCCATAACTAATGTGCTTATCAATGATGAATAAAACATGTTTAACTGTGTTTATAAACTACATACTAATGTTTATTGATGCGTTATAAATGATGAATTCAGTATTTATTCATGCTTAACTAATGCTTAATAGTGTGTACTCATTATAAAGTGTTACCAAATATTATTGAAATCACAATATGGCCATGTGCAATATGCAAATCGGAAAAGCTACAATATTTATGATAACAGTCAAATCTGTGACAAAACAGCATTATAATGAAGTACTATAGTGCTGAAGAGATGCCCTGGACTACATATCTTCTTCCCCAGATTTAAAAGAGCATGTTTGTTTGGTACAGAGCCCAAAAAATTCATGATTTTAATTTTTTCAATGAAAATTAAATTTGTGATAAAAAAAAAACATTGCTCATCAACCAGCAGCTCCAGATCTTCTCATCGAACTCGCAGCAAGAAAGCAAATACGCTTATTTCCCAAAACTTTGAACTATTCCTTTTATAACAATGGTAGCTGATGGAAAGTTACTGTACTTGAGAACAAGCTGTTGGATAGCAGCTTATTGAACCAAATATCCATCTACATACTGACCACTTCCTTAATAAATCATTCCTGATGAACTCTAAATCAGGTGCTAAATGGCACTTCACCAATAACTAATTATTAGTTCTTTCTTGCTTACATATTAGTTAGTAGCTGTGTGTAGAAATGATTAATTAATGACTTAATTTTGCCCTCAACATTCAGAGATCCAGTGGTGGCCCTGTCGATCTGTCACACTGAGGGATTAGTAATCAATGCACATCACCAAGCACTGTGATTTCTTCTCTATTTTTCAAAGCAGCCATCAACTGCAGAGGTCTGATGAATGGCACACATTGGTAAAGACGGCAAATATTTAACTTTAGAGTTCTCTAAATTAAATGTATTTACCAAAAAACCTCACTTCATTACATGTGATTTTTAGATGTAACATGCAAGGATTTTCAGATAGTGATTACCCGGTACAAACCGCTTTCTGGCAGTCATGCTAATTGCTGTTGAAGGAAGTCCAGTATAAAGGTCTTTGTTGTGAGACACAAAAAATGCAGGTTGTTATGCATCACTCACAGCTTTCAATTTCCAGGGTGCAGTTTTGTTCATCCAGAGGGTACCTCCTCAAGTCCATCATGCAAGCAGCAGTGGTGGTTATTCTAAGAAAAAAAGACAGAAGCAGAACAGGGACTTAGGTGATGTTGTAAAGACATGGATCGACAAAAACACAAAACATTTTATGTCATTTCTTTCTTAAAAGTGAAGGAAGGGGCTAAGAGAGAGGTCATGGTGTGTGACAGATGAGCCTTGACAAGTTGCACAATATGATGAACCACCAGTGTGTCCACCACTTAACTCAACCTGCACTTTCAAAGTCATTATTTTGTGGTTGTTTGTTGAAAGCATAAAAGCGCTGCAGCAGTTTCATAATCCATAGTTGGCTTTTAGGCGGGTCATTTTGCAAATACTAATGTATCTGAGTGTGTTTGAATGTATGTATAACTGTGTAGCACATTCATGTTCCTTAGCCTCTTAAACCTTTCAAGGTTCATGGGAGCTGCAGACTTCTTATTTAGCTCTCTTATGTTAAGAGGCTTTTTGGGGGGAAATTTGACTTTTTTCTTTCTTAATATGATTTATTCTTTATGTTTCTGTGAGTAGTCTGGAGAAGTATTTCCTTTTATGTGGATCACTAACTGCTCAGCATCTGCGATTTTGTCAATGTTAGATATTTATTACTAGTTCCAAGATATGCACTTCTGCCAGGTAGCTTTAGAAAAGATGTATGCATAGCAGTTTATTAACGTCAATAAATCCAGTAGCCCAGGAAAAACAGCTTTGGCTACAAATTACACATGTAGGGGTCTTTGGCATTAAACTGAGATATTTACCGGTTCAGCACATTTTAGTAATTACATTTCTGCTGTTCATACCAGCTGCTATGTGTTCATCATACCAGCTTTCATTCGCTTACTGCCCTCCTGTGTACATGAAATAGAAAAAATTAATTTTCAGCTCATCATCTCTGTGTCAGAAGCCACCAGCACGTTCACAGGGGAAGTTTGATATGCACAGTGCATGACTCTGTGTGTATGTTAGAGCATGATGAGAGTCATATGCAGTTTTGCCCTTTAAAGGACGTTTCACATTTTGGATACATTCTTAATCATGTTTAAGTCAAAGCCACCAAGGCTGCTACAGTCTGTGGTTTCACACTGATGCAGCAAGCAAATGTACACAACCATCTACAGTACCTAGAATTAGTAATACAGTAGATAATAAGCTGTTTGCATTGGAAATATATTGCCGGAACACAGAGTTTGTAAATTGGTCATGGTGGGGTGAACAGAGTGCTGTCGGCAGGTAATTGGAAAACAAAATATGTTCTGCTAAAGCTGATTGGGCCAGATTAACACATGTGGGGCCCCTGGGTCCCTGATAGCAGAAGGAACCAGAAGGGTAAAGAAAATAATACATAAACAAAATGTGTGACAGGTATATATTTATTATTCACAATGACACTGAGCTGCATTCTGCTGCACAAGCATTAAGCTGCTCAAAGTGCATTCTGTTCTGCTCTGCTGTACTGCACCTCCCTGCTGCCTCACAGCGCTCCTCTGCTCTGAGCGTACAGCAGGGCTACCACTGATACACACTGTGAGGAGATAACATCATGCCTAATTACATTAATAGGAAAGGTCACTTGGCAATCATGATTTTCTAGGCTAAAAGTTTTTTTAAAACCCTGTCTTTCCATAATGTTTCTTGTCAGCATGGTGGACGTCCATTGGATAGAAATAAATGGGTGTGTTTTAGACTTGACAACATAGGTGACATAATGCAGTGCTTCCCAAACTTTTCCTCAAGGAACCCCTTCTATCATTGAGTAAACTGACGACCCCTGACTTAGCAACATATTTTAAGGATATTTTATATCATATTCAATGAATAACAATTAACACAAATAGTGAAGACAATAACTGCAGGATGTTTGTGTAAACAAGTGATTTGGGTACATTTTGAGCAAATAATTTCCTGTGAATATTGCATCAGAGATGAGTTTTCCAGATATTTTAGGAACTTTTAATACACTTCTCTGTATAATGTTTTTATTAACCATCATACATACTTAACAGGCTTATTTGTTTTGACAAATTCAGTGTTTTCTTCTCCGGGAGGCTTGGCCATTCTTCTATTAGCTCGATGTTTTAACTGAGTACTTTTTCTAATGCAGAGGCTGTTTAGCAGTGAGTGAAGACTGTGAGGATATAGTGTTCCAATGCTGCATTTATAAAACAGACATAAGATCAATTTTGATAAGTATGAAATACGCAGACAACCATGTAGAAGTAGTTATTTATAAAACCTTAGTTTGACATGGAAATGATCTTGTCTCTAGGCAAAGTCTAAACTTGACTTAAGTGATTTTCCTGGTGGTTATGTAAGGGTATTGTAGTTTGGGATGCATATGCGAATGCGAGAATGTGATAGGAATCATGGGTGCCTAGGTATAGGTAAAGTGGGGGTACGAGATTATGGCAGGAACATTTTTATGAAAGTGCTATTTCTTGCAATATAAAGCCTTCAGTCACGACTAATAAAGCTCAGTTTATTGCACTACTATAAATAAAAATATTAGTTTTTCATAGTGTTCCGTGCTTTCAACAGTGAGTGACAGATAAACACAGACAAAGGCACTTACTGCATAATGCCGTTGCTGAGTACAATTACCTGATAATTAGCCTGATCAGCCATCGTCAGTATTCAATACACACACATTATTAAACCATTAATAAAACCAATAATTAACAGCCGTCAATGTCAGACAACCTTATCATACTTTAGTGTTTCTGTATTGGTTACAAAACGTTAAAAAATATTTAATAAAAACAGAGCGGCTTGAGAAGCTCCCTGCTCTCTCAAGGGAAAATATCATTCCATAATATTACTGAACTGTCACAGATATCTTTGGACATTTTACAGACAAGGAGGATGGAATATCTTGCTTGTTTATCTATATCAATAAAATGGCATTTAAAATAAAAATAAAAATAGATAAATATCTTAATTCAATTGGAATCATCAACTTTTGTACTTCGACTTTACTTAATCCCCCCCCAAAAAAAACAATCCCAAACAATGACTTAACTTTTACTCATAATCTCTGTCAGTTAAATCATTTAGGTACTTTCCTGCATATATTGTGGGAATGCACTCTGAAGTGGTTGGATCATATTTTCTCCTGCTTCCTGCAAGTAATGTTATCAAATGATACAAAAATGATTTTTTTTTTTTTAAATTTTTATTTGTTTATTTTATTTTTTATTTTAATTTTAGTTTAATGTATGTTTAATGTATGTAATGTATGTTCTGGATACTTGAATTTCCCTTGGGATAAATCATGTATCTATCTATCTATCTATCTATCTATCTATCTATCTATCTATCTATCTATCTATCTATCTATCTATCTACTACATCTATCTATCTATCTATCTATCTATCTATCTATCTATCTATCTATCTATCTATCTGTGACTCAAACGAGAAAACGAGGGCCAGCTGGATCCACTGCAGCAAAAAGCAAGCTATCAACTAGACAGAAACCTCCACATTCACTTTCACTCTATCAATAGTGTGATGCATATAAATATATATTGATTGTTCTGGATAATTTCTGAAAGATATTCTGATAATAAAGTTAAATCTAATTAAATGTATCAAATAATGGAGTTATGTGTAGCGAGAATCAATGGGCTCAAACAAAGGGTGCTAAGGACCTGGGAGGGAGTGCTAGAGACAGCAAACCCTTTACTTTCATAACCAATTTGTTATGATCTGTTAGCATTTTACATTTAGACACATTTGGGGGTAGTTAGAGGGTTGGTTGGATGTTTGTTTATATAATACAAACTCCAAGCTGAATAAGCTTTAATGTCGATTTATTCTTTTCAATTGTTATGAAGTCATCTCTGTATGTTCTGATGAACACTTCTGATGGTATAGGTACAAAAACAGACCAAAAAGCTTGGGCCCCAAATGTGAAGTAGTGGTAAAACCAACACATCACCAAAGTTGCATCTTCCTGCATGCAGTAACAGAAATGGAACAAACTACAATATGGAGAGACCCTACAATGTGCTGCCTGAAACCTTGAGCTGTAGCAGTCCCGTGTGATCACGAACAGGAAGACACATCCTGTCAAGACACAGCTACTGTTCTTGAAAGACAATGCCCCCAGTACCACAGTGAAGCAGTGAAACCCTGGCAGCAGCAGCTTGGAGGATTGGACAGAAATGAATTCTTTACCCCCTGGCAGAGGGAGGGGAAAAAAACCCACTACGAATAAAATTGACTGTATATGTGACAGTTAACAAGCGAGGAGAGAATCATACTCAGACTCAATGAGCAGGCACGAGACGGGACGGCTTACAGCGAGGGCCTGGGATTTAGAAATGTCAGCAGATGTAGGTCAGCAACTTAGAGTCCCACCAGAGACGGTCAGCAGCAGACCTTAACAGGCGCAGTCCAACACTCAGCAGTCTGATTACTTCGTCGAGTTCAAGACGATGTGCAATGTTAGCCGGTTCATATTTTATTGGTCAGACCACTGTGAGACATTGGCAGATTTTAAAGAGTTTGAGTCTTTAATGCCATTACAATCCAAAACTAATAGTTTACCAGTGGGCCTAGCACCCAAGGGAGTATAAATTCACAATTAAAGGTGCATTCCACTTTTCAGGCCACTCTTGGCTTTTCAGACCATTTATCGTGCCTGCATTACATGACAACTAAAAGCAATCTGGAGGTGGATCCAAGAGGCTCAGCACTACAGACCGGGAGGCTTTCAGATATGTGAGCAATAGTTTTGACTCCTACACAGTCTACTACTGTAGCCTTCTCCGGAGGTAGCTCGCTCACCGAAAGAAGATCATAGTACTACACCATGGTTTAATAAACAGAGGAACACGAGAGAGCGGATTCACAAGAATGGGAAGAGAGAAAACACCATCTGGCGAAAGCTTAGCTCAACAAAGCCCTCAATGCTCTCAGGACCCAGTGCACTACCAAACTGCATTGTAAGTTCACTAACGATGAATCAGCCTCTCAACTCACTGGCAAGTTAGACGAACCTGCTCTATCATAAACACACTCTGGCTGGACACTTTCTACTGACACCGACTTCTTTTATTGATGTTTGGAATGACTTTGTTTGTTTGCAACACCAAACGCTCTTCTGCACCACTCAGCAGTCTTGAGACCCAGCCCCCTCCTCCCTTCTCTCCACATAAAAATAAAGCACTAGGTTCAAATCTAGCCAGTATATCTCAGGAATGCAAAAATGACAATTTAAGCAAGGTTTTCAAAAACAACATTAATTCTCGTGGGTGGGGGCAATTTTCCAGATTTTATTTGAATATTGGATCTGCAGTACACATGCATCATCAGTCCTCCATCTCTTGATCCCCACAATCCCTGGCAACTCCTGGAGAAAGAAATTATGGGCACATTTATGGATAATTAATAGTCTCCAATCCGCCATATTTAGATGCCATTGGCACTGGCAGTGGTACTCAGATCCTTTACTTAAACGTACCACAAGAAGTTTTAACTGGATATCAAACAGTCTCATGGCCCCTACCTTATATACTATTCAGTAGCTTAGTCCAGTGGTTCCTAACCTGTAGGGTTGGGGATAAGATAAGTTTGGGGGTCGTGAGATAATTAGTGACAGTTCTGTCTGCTACCCCAAATCAACATCAGGGCATTCAAATGTGAAAATTCTGGAAAGGAAAAGCTATGGCAGTAGTTTATATAATAAACTAAAGTCTATCACTTAACAGCCGAAATCAGATCTGATTTGAATGTTAATTTCTGAGTGATTGTAGCATATTTTAAATAAACCTGATTGCATTCATGTACAGAAAAACAAGATAATCCTGGTGCAGTCTAAAAAGTTGATGCAATTGGTTTGGTTTTGCCAGAGAATAGAGACTGCAGGTACAGAGAATGCACCATTAAACACTCAACACGAGATCAGTGGGTAAGCAAATGAGGATACAGTTGGGAAGTAGAGAGAATGTCAGCTTGTTCTTAAGATAAAAACAAAAATAGAAGCGGTTGATCAACACAAATCAGCTCAGCTCAGATTAAAATCACTGTAAACTCTAGGAATCAAGGTAAATAAAGGCTAAAAAAAAGGCAAACACCAGTATCAGCACATTTCACAGTGAGTGAATAGGTGAGAGTGCAGCACAAGGTGCAATAGTGTGTGTAATGTGATTGTCCACAGTTTGCATTTTATTGTGCTGAAGAGTCAGGGGGATGGATTCAAACAGGCGCCCTTTACAATAAAATGCATTTAAGACAACAAAAACCTCAAGTGGTCAAACTTGAGCGGCACAACATTCAAATGAACTAAGAATACAACATCTGTTGTTAAAGTCATATCTATTGTTCTGGAAAAATAAATGTCCACACAACCCTTGGGCAAAGTCAAACATTTTAACAAAGCAATTTAATTGAATGCTTACAGGAGGCTTGTAAAGGTCCTGAAATCACCATGGCATGTAGATTATGCACTGATTCTAATTACTGTACACTGCTGAAAAAAACAGTCTGGAGGACAGATCCAAGGGCTTGACGCCATCTGCCTTTTACCATTACTGCGGTGGATGATGATAACAGTAAAACCCTGTGCAGTATGCTTGAAGATGGAATGTTGGAGGAATGGCTGATTCTAGTGTCCCTAGCAACAGTCTTAGCTTTCTGATTCATGCAGGCACAAAGCCAGTGGAGGTGCAAATACAGGTGTAATGCTATTTTCAAGTCCATTTTACTATGCTTGCACCTGCTTGGTACTTTAGCGGCTCAGAAGGAACCTGGATGTGCTTAGGTACCTTCATTAGTTGAGCAGCCGGGAATGTTTATTCTGATCAGATATGTAAAGTTTCTTATCTAGTACACATTTAAAGCAATCAAAGTTACATTTAATTAACTGATTATGCTGAATTAGAATTTCCACAAATTAGTTATTGTTACTAGTAATAGTATCTACAACTGCTTTTAGGACGTTTGAGGTCCTTCTAATTCCGTTCAAACCAGTAGGCACACATTTGCAGCATGGTCTTCAGCAGCAGTGAGATTGCATTCCTATGTTGATACCTTGTGAAGAGTCATAAAAGTAGCAAAGAAAAGCTTTTGCCATCATATTGTGGCAGCACCAATTCAGTAACTCAGAGTTTCTGAATACTGATTATTACATTAATAATTCATTACTTCATATGATCTACACCTTGTCACTGCCATTTTCTTTTATTCATGGAACAAAACACAGTCCCCGCTTCTTTGCCTCCATCAAACTACTTTCTTTTAATGACTAGTGTTAAGAAAAGCAGCAATCCAACCTGAGTTTGAACAAACCTCAGGACACCTTCTTACTTTTAGATGTCCCCAAGGAATTTTAGATGGGTCCCTCTGTGCACATTTACTGTTGATTGAATTGTCTAGTTTGTCACGGTGATCTGGGACATTTGGGTGGTGAGCAATTTGAACCTTTTTTTAGCCTTTTCGGGTCAATGAATTTTGGATTTAATGTACCCGTCTCCTTCCAAAATATTGATATTGTTTTTTCCTGAGCCACACTCAGAACTTTGTAGACCATTAACTTTATAAATAAAGCTTTAAAGTCTGTTTATTGTTGCCAAAAATAAATCTGTCATAACTTATCCTGCCACAGGACCAAATGCTGGCAGCAGTGATCTTATTTTTCTAGGAGCCACATGCTCAAAATTATCACTTGCTGTATTACTGCCACACAACAGAGGCAAATGACAACAATAACAGCTATCTAATTAAAAGTTATCTTATCATGTGTAGGTCTTCAGCAGTCTACTGTTCCCCCTTCCCATCCATCAATTAAGTACCGGTCTTTTCTGGTCTAATATCTAATCAAGTGTTTGGTCTTGCTCTAGATTTCTAAATAACGGTGATGCCAGCCATCCATTTTTAGTCTGTGTAGGGTCACTGAGGGGTAAAGCGTACGTCAACATGGGTGATTTATTTTTCCATAATTTTTCTGAGGCTTCTTTCATTATTAAAGGTCCAGTGTGTAACATTTAGGATGATCTACTGGCAGAAATTGAATAGACTATGCATAGGTATAATTTCATTAGTGTATAAAATAAGAATAGTTGTGTTTTCGTTATGTTGAGTTTAGCTGCCAGTTTCTCCTGCGTGCTTGGAAGGGGAGTGGCATTCAGTTGGTTGATAAACTAAATCCTACATACTGGTCCTTTAAAGCTTTCCAAAAAATATAAAAAAGAAATATGCATCCATCCCTTCTCTACACCACACCTTTCTTTTCTGGGAAGCCAGGATGCACCGGGCAAAACGAAGAGAAACACCCTGAACTAGGTGTCTAGTCAATCACTGGGAACAGGCAGACAAACACGGTCACTCAAATGAACACCTAGGGGCAATTTAGAGTGCCCAGTTCACCTGATCTGTTTTGTCTCTGGACTGCAAGAGCAAACTGGAGACATATGGACATGAATCAGTTCTGTAAAATGTGAGATGCGGCCGCATGGAACAATGATGAGATAATGAAAATTGTAGTAACTATAGCACAAATGGAGGAGAGTCATAAAGTCAGTGAGCTGCAAAAAAATTGCCAACATTACCTGACATTAACCACCATAAGATACTGGCCATATCAGACCAAATACAGTAGGGCTGTATGAGTATGTTGAAGTGAGTTATGGTCCCTTTTATTGCTTATGAACTCATCATTTTAGTTATAAGAGGAAGAATGAGCTGTTGCTTTATCCCACATTACTTACAGTTATGCAATTGACACTATCATCTGTTGCTGTAACAGTTTCCTTAACAGTTCTGACTTTTGTGGTGAGCGTCTGTATGTAAAAAAAAAAAATTTTGATAGCCATTTCTATTGTTTTTCCTTTGGCATATCAGTTCAGGTCAGGTTCACCTAGTAAATGCATGCTGAAATGTAGTAAGCGGAACCAAACAGCAAAAAACATACAGTATTGACATATTTAAACACTGAAAGTAGAAATAATGTAAAACACTAGACCAAGCATATAGAGTGTATGAATTCCCACTCTTCTTACCTCAGCCCGTATAAGACTGTGCCGTCAGGGTGCAGTCGGATCATACGGTTTTTTACTGTCACACCATGAAGAAAGGACTTCTTGTCATTAAGGAAGTAGGTGTCAGGGAGCCAAAGCTGGTCTGCTACACGGTTGTCCAGAGTCAGGTTTAGGTCCAGCTCACCATAGGCCAAACGCTTATCTCGCCAGCTCTGCTGAAAATACATTGTGATGGTGTAGTCCTGGGGAGAAGGAAAAACTTGCATGAAGTCACAGATAAAAAACAATTCAGTCGTACATAAGGCTATGAGCTACGGTAACTTTTTGTTTATTTTATTGTTTCCTGCCAGTGCCTGACAATAGTTTCAGAATTAGTGAGCATGGTTTATCAAACTGGGAGTATCACATGGACATCGTTATCACAGGCAAAAAAAAAAGCAGTCTTAAAATAAAAAAGTTATGTCAGGAACACTAACAGGCATGAGAAAAAAATCCCTCTATTTCATGCATTACCACAATGTAATTTAATGAAGGGCTACAACAGCAATAACAGAAATGAATCTGCTTTGAGAACACAACAACACCATTTTTATGCTCTCAGCTCATGAAAACAGTTTTTTATACAATCAGAAAAACTAAATTGCTCAGCATTTGTAAAATAGGACATGGGCAGCAAACCAGTAAATACAGCTGTGCTAGTACTCCTGTATAAAACTGTATCTAACTGGAAAAGCGCTCAAGTGTAGATATAATGTGTGACAGCTAATGCATCATTGTCCCTCTGGTCAAAGTACTGTATTCTACAGTGAGACCCATGAAAGATACACATTGGCTTCATTTTCAACCTACACAGTCCAATGATTTGAAATATTGTGTGCTTTAACACAATGCATTTCAATGAAAGGTGCAATTCAATTCAGGTCATTTTGAGCAAGTTTAACACTTCCTGTGTTGGTGCATGAAAACATATTAAGACATCTGGTAGCCCTTACATCCTGTTTAGTAATTCATGAAAAGCATCACTCATGAAGATAATAATAATAAATGAACACACAGCTCTTAATGAACACTCATCAGCCATTCTACTGATAAACAAATCCATCAACCGTCTCGATCATATCTGTCATTAAAAATTAGATATTTCTAATGTGTATGTGGGGAAAGGCGTTCTAAATTGATGTGACAATAAACCTTTTTTGACAGCAGCAGTTACAAACATTGACATTTGTTTTTTGTTTATTCTGTGAGAGCGTTTTTTAACATCTCACCCCTCATCATATTTAAAATTCACACAATATTGGTTGTCACTGAGCATTTAATATACATTTTGAATTCTGATGGTTTCTGGTGTTCCAACTCTGAACTTATGATTTAAAGACATTCAAGAGAAAAGATGTCTTGTGAACATCATTAAGAAAGTCTGGTGTGGGATTGAACAGGCTGAAAATCATTTGATTCACTCCATAAAGTGAAAGTGAGACAGATAAAAGAAAGAAAAGACAGAAGGTGAAAGAAAACAACACAAAATTGAAAAGCTGCCTCACCATATGGGAGGAGTGAGCTGCACTGTGAGTGACTATGTCACACTGAGAGCGCTAAGAGACAGAATGACGTCATCAGTCAGACGTCGGCAATATTGTCTTCTTCACAACTCAGCTTGCATTTCCGATTGCTCTCAATCTTTGCCAGAGCACAAAAATACACTATGTGTTGTCTTGCAGACTAGAGTGGTGATTACGCAGCAAACAAATTATCAGCTGTTCAAAACAAAAAACAAACAAACAAAAAAATTGGATATTTATTAAAACATGGTTGCATTCAGTGGAAAGATAAAATTCTTGCCCACAGGTAGTCTGTAGTTGTACCCCCCAGCCTGGCTTGGTCATTAAGTCCAACAATACAAGTGGCAGTGTTTGTGGGTGGGAAGCCAGTGAGGGATAATGTATTTGTTGATTCACTTGCAGCTTCCTTTGGTTGGTTGGGTGCTTACTTGGGGATGGAACAGGGGAGATTAGCGTGAACCTGCTGCGTGTTACACTCTCATTGTGAAGCTCCTGCCAGCAAAGACTCTTTAGCAGTGGAGTTAACAGTGACGAGGGCCGCAGTGTGAGGGGAAAAAAGACGGGGAAAAGACATAGGACAAAGAGATTTGTAACTTACCATGTTTACTTCTGAGATGGAGTCGATGCTTGCTATGTTGATGCTCATTCCTACGATGACTGGAGGACCTGAGGGAACAAAGAAAAAACTGATGTCACTAAAAACTTACAAAAATATTAACATGCAACTACTCGAAAGGACTTCCATCTGCAATGTGAATTGATGGAGTAGCGATGATGTTAAATTAACTGGATTTCTAACCTACTTTTAATGCCACTTAAGTTCTTAAAGGCAGTGTAGGATTTAGTGGCATCTAGCCGTTTAACTGCAGATTACAATGTCCTCACCTCACCCTCCCATTCCAAACATGCAGGAGAAACTACACTGGCTGTGAAACCCATAAATAATGTGAAAGGACCTATCTAGAACCTGTGTTCTGGGCTACTGTAGAAACATGGTGGTTCAACATGTCGGCCTCCGCAGAGGAGGACCCGCTCCCTCTGGAGACAAAAGCAGCTCATTCTAAGGTAATGAAAAAAAAATTATTCTTATTTTCAGGTGACCATACAACTCATGAAAATATACCTATGAATATAATATTCAGTTTCAACTTAGAAAGATTCCTTCGAAGTGTTGCACACTGGAGCTTAAAAATGTTTGACCCCATACATCAATATTCCTAGTTAAGAGCATACCATATGCAGTTGCACGTGTTCAATGATATTGATGCAAAATGGTATTTTTAAGCATACTACTGCTCAAATACATAGGCCACTCTATGTAGTGTACAATATGCCAGTGACAAAGCAAATTTAAATCTTTAGATCATAGATTGTGTAAAAAGTATAGACCAGTTACTCTTAGAAGCTTATGAAACAACGCTGAGAAAACGCACTCATCCATACTAATTTCCAAGCTTGCAATTCATGTAAAGGAACAGGAAGAGCAAGCTGTGCCTCATTTACATGATTACAATACATGCTGTAAACAGCTGTGCACATCAACTCTCTTACATGTACAGTAAACACTTAACCTACTTCAATATTCACACTTCAGATTTACATGGATTATCCATTCACAGGGCCCATGTTACCCACAGTCACTGTAACCAACACCATGTGACTTCAGACATATTGTGTGGCTATGTTGTATATAATCAAATGCATTGTCTTCATTTTAGGGGCATTTTTTAAATGTTAAAAAGCAAAATGCATACTTCAAATCTTTGTGCTTACAATATATTTTAAATAATTGCCATTATAAATTACCATTTACCATGTGCTACAGCAGGGTATTCCCTGAGCCACAAACTCATCTTTTAAGACACTAAACTTAATTAATTTTGCAATTGGCAGCTCTTTTCAGATTTTATTTCGAACAAACTTTGGAATATTAGCATCAAACTACAACCACACCTCTTTTGTAAGCACAGACAGTGAATCTGAAGAAGCCACATGCAGAACTACAGACAGGGCTGGAGAGTAGAGTCTAAGTTACCCGCTTTTCTTCTGTTCTTTACCTTTTCTAGCAAGCAGCGAAATGAAGAAAACTGGCACATTTCCATTACCATTTGACAGCAATTCTCAGTATTTCGCTATTACAAAATTTGTTATTTCTCTGTATATTTATAGCCCTAATGTTATAACCTTAACACCTAAACACCCTCCCCTCGTCCGCATCCTCATCCTTTTTAAAACCATGTCAGCCTCACATTGCGTCTGTGAGAATGATCAGGCCACAGAATATGAATTGCTGACACAGAAAACAGAAACAGTTCAGTGATTGGTTCATGTGGCAGTGCTGAATCAGTATATTCAGATAATGTTTCATGGTATTATAGTGGAAATGGCATTAGCATAAAGATCATAAACAACACAGAAAACTGATGTTCTGCATCACGTGTATCATTACTCTCAAGAGGTACAGAACCTATGACTTTCTACTCAAATGCTCCGTCTTTGTCGACCCCTTCTCTCTTTGCCACTCTGTTTGTCCACGTCCTTTCACTGACTCACTGCACGAATTAAGAACAAAACAGATGACGACGAGCAATGTACTGAGCAGTTTTCATACCACCCTGCACAGAGGAAGTTGGTTGTTTGTTCCTTGTTGGATTTGTCCTTGCACATCTGTTCAGTTCACTTGTTTTCAAACTTCCTTTGCAGGGCCTCATTCCCTACACAGTCCTATCCAGAACAATGGGACTGCCATGAGCCAACACCATCTGTGAGCTATGGTCACTGGAAGTGCATGAAACTTATTTTTGAAGTTGCACTGAAGTATCAAGTCATCATTTCTTATTTTTTAGTAATAATGTGATATAATTTGCACGTTGTGTGTTAAAACACCAGGATAAGGTACAGACAGTTATGGGCCACTGTGACTCACAGAAGACGAGGTGATTAATTTCTACACGCAGCTGATGGATGTACTGCACAGGTTCACAAAATAGATTTAAAAAAGAAATCATGACTTGTGTGCGTAGTCTCTCTATGACCAGAACAGATCTACAACTTTCCCTTTCTTCAGGATTCTCTCAAAATACAACACTTTGAAATGCAAAAAGAATGTAAAACAGATCTTGACAGTTACTGCTGACAGCAGGAGTCATGGGGATGTTTATGGGTTGCAGACTTGCACAGTTCAGAGCCCATAAAGATTTTTGACAATATACTAAAATTGCTAATATAACCCTCATCTGTCCAAATACCTTCAAGACCCTGAAATAAAGACTCTGGGTGTATGAAAAGGATATGTGACTATACTTGTTTTTTTTTTGGATATGGCTAAAAATAGAGTCCAATCAAAGCTGTCAGTCTGCACTTTACCCACTCTAACTATAGTGTTACAGTACAGATAACAGCACAGATTACTGAGCACAGAGCTCATTTTACATTATCTTGTATGAAATAACAGAGGAGTGAGCACATTTAACCAAAACCATTTTGTGATTCATTTAGTTTGATGACCAGTTAGCCTATCCAAACTCTTGCCTTGATTGGTGAAACTTTGTCAAGTATGCTTTAATCACACAGCAGTTTGCTCTGATGAAACAAAGGAAAATTATCTGTGATTTTTTTCACACGGGTGAGACCTTATCAAGTGCAGTGTCCCCTTAGTTTATTAAATATTTCATAGTACATTGCATCTGAACATTTCAGTCTATCCCCACACTTCAAAACAGATACAAACCAGACTTGCATGAAAGTGTAATGGGGTCCAAACACCCCACAAAGCCAAAGTCTGACTGACCTGGAGCAATCCTAAAGCCAAGACCGTCACTGAATAGGGCTTAAACAGGGGATTTAATACGTGTTTGTTTGCATGCATGAGCAGGCTTAGAAGCCCTCCTGTAGGGCACACTGCCAGGATCTGATCCATCTTCAGACCATAAGAACTGTTGAGTCTACGTCTAAACTATTACCAATGATTTATTTTGAGCCTCAATGATTGAGTGTCTCTTACCCTAAGCACTGTCCCTAACTACCCTACTACATGTCACACATTTAAATGCATGAATCCACCTTAACTATAGCTATTGTAATGTAACATACAAATATATGCCAACTAAATTAACATACATGCATGTGCTAAACACCACCTAGGTGTATGACTAAATGTCATTGGTGTTCTCCAGAAGTCTCTTCAATTAGAAGTTATTTTGTCCTCAAGTTCAGTGATGAAAGCAATATTGGAACCAGCCACCATTTTCATTGGAATAATATGTGAAAAAGTTACAAAAAAAGGTGTAATGTCTCAGGGGATTGAAATTAATAGATACACATTTCTGCACAAAGTAGAGGTGCCAGCTGATTTGAGTTGAGTAAATTGATGTTGGATGTTTTTGGATAAATTATTTCAATTGGACCACTTTGTCAAAGCTTTGATAAACCACTGAATTGGGAAAATGCTATGTTAATTGGCCCTTTATTTGTGGGCTCTGCTCCAAACAAAACTGTACTGTACAATCCTTACAGTCCTGAGGTATTAGGGTCAGGAATTACTCCTCCGAAGCCTGAAGGGAGACAGTCGTGACTGTACTCGTCTATGACATCACAGAGTTAAGAGACATTTCTAATGTAAAACTGTGTGTTTCTGTTTGAGTTCACTACTCAACGCACCATTGGAGTGGACAGTCATCAGACAGTCAAAAGACAAACAACACAAACTAAACTATGATGGCATGAGACTCAATCAATAACCACTGTTAAGACGTACCCCGATTCACCGAAAGATCATTCCCTCCTGTGGGGCCCATCCCGCAGATATTAGTTAATTGGGATGTTTCTCTTCAAATGCTGGTATTAAAATATTAACCAGCAAACCACTTGGCCAAAAAGGCCCCATCTATCCTCTCTCTTACATTCTGTAATCTTATTTCCTTCCCCCCAACTCCTCCCACTACACTAAATGCCCTGAAGCTTTGTCATATTCCCTGACCCATCTCTTTCTACAAAAAAGGGAAAAAGTAGGGCCATTTTTCCATCGCACTTTGTGAAGGCAACCAGTAACAGTTTTCCCCAGAGATGTCAAAGTACATTCATTCGCTAGATGAAAACAGAAAGCACCAAATTTCTCTCTCTCTCTCTCTCTCTCTCTCTCTCTCTCTCTCTCTCTCTCTCTCTCTCTCTCTCTCTCTCTCTCTCCATATTTTGACCCTGCTTTAGTGAAACAGAGGCACTCACTTTGTCACCACAGCTTTCTCAAAATAAAACTGCTACCTGCACTCGCACTTCACAAGTTGGAAGAACAACACCTTTAAAAAAAACACCTTTACATCTTTAAATAAGCATTTCAACAAACATTTCAAACAGTCTAGAAAATGATTTTCTTTTCTCCTCAGAATGGATGGAGAATTGAAATTGTTTTAAAATATGTCTAATAAATGATGGCATTAGTACTAGAGTGCTAACTACGGTCATTTTTTTTGTTAGGATTTCATTATACCACCATCCCGAGGCTAACCATATTGTCTCTGAACAATTACCATATCGGTGTGTAAACAGTTTCTAAAACTTTTCCAAGAGTCCACTGAATGTTTCAAAATGCTCCTGTTTTCTGCTTTTATCAGTCAATATCACTATATTTTTAGATGATTTAGATGTGATACATTACAACCAATATGCAC